GGGGGGGGGGGGGGGGTGGCGCCTGGCCTTTGGTGAGAGAGACTAGAATGCTGCTCAACATCTTCCCATACACAGGCAACTCCCCCCAACCCCAACCCCCTGGAGCAAAAATTTTGCGGCCTAGATATCTGCCCCACCCCCAGGAGACAAGGGGCATGGTCGCTGTGTCAGCTGGTGGTGGCCAAGCACTTCGCAAGCCATGACATCAACCTTGTAGGCACTGGACCACCTGCCAGTTCAGGGATGAGCAAGCAGAACCTCGGACTCCCCAGGGACTTGCCCAAAGCTACTGATGGTCCCCCCAGGGACACCCACAGGGCTCCTCTGAAGGAGAGGAGCGAGGTCATCATCTCACTCTGCCCATCTGGCCTCTTCTTCCATGGCTTCCCAGTGGGAAGTTTCTGTTCCCCTACCCTATTCCCATGCATCCCTTCCCTACTCCCATAACCAAGCATCTCCTACCTGGCCCCCTGGACCCCTGGCCCAGAGAGTCACCTCCCTGTCTCCCTGTCCTCCTCCCTGTCCCTGTATTCCTATATACCTCCTCCCAGTCCACCATTTATGTGCCCTGGCTCTGCTTCCCTAGTGTTCACCCCAACTCTGTCCCTTCAGGCCAGGCCAGGCCAGAAGCCACCTCCTCCAGGAAGCCACTCTTCTTCTGACTCTGAATCTAGACACCCCCATCCTACCCCTTCATCCCCTAACTGGAGGTAGGAGCATAGACACCCCCAACTGGAGACAGGACCCACAAGGGGCACCACATGGTTCAGGCAAAATTTGGGGTCCTTTTCCCCTTAGTCCTCTTCTCTTCTGCCTTTGCTCAGACCAACAGGGCTCCATAATCACCTGGGATAAACTAAGATCCCCACACCCCGCCCCCCGCCCTTAAGCCCACCTGGAAGAGGCACCCACCCATGGGGTGGCCTCTTCCCTCCTGCTGTGGCCCTAGTCTACAGTTCCTATTGCCCACCCTCCCCTGCAGGTGCCCCTTCCCTGGAGTCCACAGGGTCATACCTCCTGACACCTGTTAACCTCCAGAACCTGCCACAAATGTCCATTCAGTCCACAACCGTCACTTACGCCCGTGTTTCTGTCCTGACACCCCATTCCCACCCTGAAGTCTCTTGTGACTGTACTCAAGGTACAGTGATGTCAGACCTTTCCTCCCTCCAGAAGTACTCATCCGTATATCACGGAGTGCCCTGCTCCACGCGGCTGGGGCACCTGGTCCTCTCCGTCTGACAGTGCTGCCCAGCATCTAAGGTGCCCTGAGAGGTGAACAGCTTGCCTGGGCCTTCACACTCTGAGTTCCAAAGCTGGGCCTGATGTTCTAACTGATCCCTTCCCCACCAGACAGCCCCCTGCTCCAGGAGAACCCCTCCACTGAGGGACAGAAGAGCACTCTGACCTTTGCCCCAGCATGGAAATGCTCTGAAGGGTGTGGATGAGGCCAGGTCAGTCCAATCGTGCAGCAAAGTCCACTGCGGGGAAAATGAGGTGGAGCTGGAGAAGGGACAGGGTGCTTCATGGAGGTCTCAATGGCCCAGGAAAGGCCATGGTCTTGCATCTTCCCTGACTTGGGAATCCAGCCCTGGGGGATATTGGCTCCTGGGAGGGATGCAGTGGAATCTGAGTTGAGAAAGTCACCCCAGTGGGCATATTGTGGGTCTTATGAGCCCAGAGGCCAGTGGTCAGTGAGGCAGGCCTTAGTGGGGGCTGGGGGAGGAGCAGGTGGAGACAGGTGGGAGTAGGTGAAGGTAGGTGGGGGTGAGTGGACAGATGAAGGCAGGTGGGGGCAGGTGGGAGCAGGTAAGAGGTGACAGCAGAGGGACACAGACCAAGAGGTGGTGATGAGAATATAGGTTAAGACTGAGAGATCAATGTGTCTTGTCCCCAGGACTCTTCTAAACTGATTTGCATATGGATTAATGCATTTCCTAGCCAAATCCTTCAACCAGCTGCAGATTCACTCGCCTTCAGTCACCCACAGCTGAGTGAACATTGGGAGGGGGCTCTATTTCTCATCTGTAAAGAACGGTGGTCACATCTACTGCACAGGGCTCAGTCACACCTCGTGCACATGGTTAATCTATGCAAAGCACTTCACGAGATTCCTGGGGCATGACCGCAAGGGGTTCAGGGGTAGCTGCCAGCCTGACCACTGCAACAACCTGCCATCTGCCTTTTGGCCACCTTGTGGTCATCGCTGTTGTCTCCTTTCTACTCCAAGTTCTGGACGGCAGCTTCCTGCCAGGTACTGCTGCCCCACACCCAACCCACCTCTCTCCCGGGGACATACTCACTCCTGGTTGCTTCTAGGGAATCATCTGTTTGGCTTGTAACCTGGTTGAACCTGGAGGGCAGCCAGACCCACCTGTCCACTCAATTCAGCCCTGAAGCTATGTCTAGGCTGTGGGGAGGGGAGTTTGTGTTGCACTCTGGCCTACTCTGACCAGTAGCCAGAACTCAAGGGGGATGGGAAGCCCAGGAAGTCCTAAGGTCCTGGGACCCTTCCTCCCATCTAAGTCATGCTCCATGGGCCTCCCTTGGGACTCTCAAAGCACCTACTGTGTGGGTAGCTATGCATATGTGTGTTTACACACTTAATGCCAGATACCCAGGCTCCTTGCTCACACTGCAGCCCCAGCAACTAAGGGATTCTGAGCATACAGCAGGTGCTTGACGAAGATACGATGACAGAATAAATGGTTCGGCGGGGCATGTACGATTCCTTATTTGGATATGACCAAGTCCAAACTACAGGACCCTGGCGAGGGGACACTATCAATTCCAGAAGCACATCCCTGTATGCCCTCACACTGGCCCCATCATCATCCCTGCTGTAGGGGTGAGAAGGTGATTCTCGGAGGGGTTGATAACGTCGGTGTAACAGCAAGTCAGAGTGACCCCTGGAGGGCTGCCAGGGGACAGGGTCAAAGCTTGTGCTAAGAGGAAAGGGAATGACTTAAGATGCTCAGGGAGGAGCCACCACTCAGTCCTCCCCACCCTCTCACCACCAGTAACACATGCACATGTTTGCACGCGCCTGCATACAAGCCCATACACACGTCTGCTCACACATGTACACACTTGCGCAGATATACATACAGACACTCATAGGCATGTGGCACACACACTCTGCCCTCATCACAGTGAATCCCTCCAGTCGCACTCCCATCCTCAAGTTGGGTGGACCCTGGAGGATGCCTTGAATGGGGAGTCCAGCACTGCGAGCAGGACAGCAGTGGCAGGTGGGCTCAGGCCATGAGAGCGGACCATGCTCGGCCTCCTTCCTGCTCTCTGAGTCTGGGTCAGGTCTGGCTACACTGGACAGGGGCCGAAGAGGGTGAAATAAAGTCGCTCAGTTCTGGGTTGACCACCTGTGGCTGAGGACTGATGGCCCCCACTGAGGCAAGACTCTGGATATTCCTAGCCTAGAAAGGGCCTAGGTGGCCACTCAATGCCCCCTCAGCAGGAGGTGGAGAGGTGGAAAGAGTTCCTAGCCAGTCCAAGGGACGGAAGTGGGAGCACCAAAGCAACTTCTGTTCCCAGCCTGGACTGCTCCTGGCCCAGGGTCATTTGAGGAGCCCCACAGCCCCTCTCAGGGCACACAGCTCTCCAATGTGCTAGACAGTAGTGGCCTGTCCCATCTGGGGAACCCTACTCCGCAGCCCTGAAGTGGGAGGCAATGAGGAGTGGGCTTTGCACCCAGGGGTGGCCCCTAAAGCTGCTGCATGGCAGAGAGGGCAGCAAAAGGACCCCACACTCAGGCCTGAGAGAAGCTGAATCTAGCCCAAGCCTACCTTGGCTGAGCCTGGACCCCAGGAGGGTCGGTGGGGCACGGTGAACGTGGTCCCCTGGAAGCTGAGCGGCTCCTGGCTCCTGAAAGCGGGTGGTGGCAGCAGCGTCCCAGTTGCCTAGGCGATGACATTGGAGCTGAGAAAGCTGGGCGGCAGTGTGACCAGCTCAGAGACTGGGAGAGTGTGTAGGAGGGGTGGAGCATGGCCTGAAGCCCTAGGGCTGGAGCCACAGCCAGCCGCCAGCCAGGGGCCAGCACTCACCACGCACTGTGCACATGCTGGCCTCCGCCCTGCGACCCCCTCCCCCATCACAGCAACCTGGTGACACCAGGCAGCCAAGCTCGCTGACTCTGCCTGCATCTGTACGCTTTTTTACTCCTCACGGTAGACATTTCCAAATACACACAGAACGAGAGGAGGGCAGAACGAACCCATGAGTCTGTCCCAGCCCCAGCATCGGTCTGTCCTCCAGCTTTGTCTTTTTCTGGAGCATTTATCAGCAAACTCTACATATTATATTATCTCATCTACCATATATTAGTATGTGTCTCTAACAGATAAGGACCTACCTTATTTTTGGAGAGGTTTTTGCTATAGGGCACGAGAACTCGCCAGAAAGACAGAGAGACAGAAAGTGAGAAATCACTCCCACAGTGGGGATGGCCACGCCGCAATCCTTTCTCCATTCTCTCGGGTCTTGGGCGGGCACACACGCACACCAGGTTCAGGACTCAAACTGTGGTCGACTACATGGGAGTCCAGTAATGTCATTATGACAACTGCTGGTCTTAGGACCTACCATTTTTAAGATTAGGTCCAACTCTGAAATTGTTGATGTTCAGCTGTTTGTGTCCTATACACACACACACACATACACACACTCAAATGATTCACCATAATACGTAGCCATAATATTGCATTCTGAATTTCCAAGTACAAGATTTTTTGCTTTTTAATTTTTTTTTCCATGCGCAAGAGAGATAGTATGAGAGAGACCAAGACAGAAAGAGAGAGACAGTTCCCTCAATGGGGCCTTAATACCACACTCTACCCCCCAGATTCAGCCAGCCCCTGATTATGGGCACACATGTCTCTGGTGTACTCAGGGAGGTAGGTCTTCAGATGCAAACGTGGAACTTTCCCACACGGACCAGCCTTGCAGAGCATCATGTTGTACTAGTACGCCACTGTCCAGCCCCACTCAAGTCCATGTTTTGAACCACTGGTCACTGCAATGATGTTCCTGTTTCCTAGGGATGTTCTCCCTTCGGAAGCTCCTACTCACAGTCCCTTTGCCATATGAAATTACATAGTCATAGGTCCCAAGGATCAGGACGTGGATGCCTTGTGTGCCATTTTTTGCCTACCATTAATGTCTTTATTCAAAAATATGTCTTTCCAGCCCTCTGTGTGGGGATCAGTCCTAAGGCCACTCTGGGCTTTTAAGCAGAAATATCTGTATCATGCTGGCATGACAACGACATGGATACCAGTCAAAACCCCGGGGCGGATAGTTACTCATTTATAAGGTTGAAGGACTTCCCAGAGCAGTCCTATTCCTGCTCAGTGAGGCCGAAGACATAACCCTCCAAGGGCAGAGTAGCCCCAGTCTACAGCCAAGATTAGGGTGGGCAGTGGGCAGGAGGTGGGTGGTAAGGGGAACCAGCAAAGGTCACATTTAAGATCATACATCCACCTACACCTTTCCTTGTCCAATTACCCTTCCTTTCTCCCTCTAACTCTTGAATATTCACCAGTAGCCTCCTCCCTAGACAATAACAAGCTCCTGAAAATATGCGGGGAAGCCGAACAAGGGACACCACTGTGCCCTGTTCTAACGAATTGCTTACCATGCACCAGGCAACCTCTCCGGTGTTTTACACATACAGGTAACTTCATTATGGTGCCAATCATGGCAAAAACTACTAGCTCCGTTTTCTAGATGAAGAGACTGAGCCACAGAGAGATTAATTTATCCAATGTCATAGAGTTAGTCAAAAGCACGACTGGAAATAAAACAAGTTACAAGATGCCTGATGAGTACTCCCACTTCAGGCACATCCTTTTGCACTTTCTGTGCTTCGTGGGGGCATCTATTCTTGTTCTTCACAACTGAGCACATGAGTACCACTTGGCCCCCTGGGGGCGTGCCCAACACCTGCTCTCTAAATGCTGGGAGAGCATGCTCAGAAGCTGCCAGGAGATGCCCTGCTTGCTTTCCAGCACACCCCGTCCTGCCCCAGGGGGTCGAGACCTGTTCCCACCGATGAGCTCACTCTTGGGCACAGTACAGCAGCAAATGCCTCCATATTCTCGCTCAGGAACCAGCACCCCACTTCCTAGCCACACTCCATAGTCTCTGAGCAAGGGAGATCTCCATTCAAGGCTTAATTACTGAAGGTCAGGGACTGAGTTTAGGAAGTTTTGGTTCTCTAGTCCTCCAAACAGGGACCGGTAAACTGCAGGTGCCCAATAATGAATAACAGATGAGTGACTGGATGAATAAATGAGTGAATAAGATCCTTAGTAAAATATGCATGGTTTAGCTCTACAATGTCTTCTCTGAATTCTGAATCCTAAAAGCTTAGAAATTCAAAGGTCGACTCCTATGTCTGGTGCTGACTCCTTTGGGAGTAGACTGGGCTGGCATGTTCCATTCTGCCCATCTGGTGTACATATCCATGTGAGATGCTGCAGGAATATAAAAGGATGGGACCAGCAGGTGGCATGGTGGCTAAGGGCGCTGGACTCCCATGTGGTTGACTGAGGTTCAAGTCCTGGACCCGGCGGCTCGCTTTCTCACTTTCCCTCTCTATCTCGCTCTGTTCCTTTCTAGTCAAACGAAAGTAAATAACTGAAGTTAAATAAAATAATTCTTTTTAAAAAATACTGAAGGGCTGGAGCCGGCAGGTGGCATGGTGGCTAAGGGTGCTGGAATCCCACATGGCCGACTATGGTTCAAGTCCTAGGCCTGGTGGCTTGCTTTCTCACTTTCCTTCTCTCTCTCTCTCTCACTCTGTCCCTCTCTGGTGAAATTAAAATGAAGAAATAAATAAAGTTAAATAAAATAATTCTTTAAAAAAATACTGAAGGGCTTGGTGGTGGGCTGTTTTTAATTAGATCACTTGGTGGTGTTATAAAATATCAGACTCAAGTACTAAGTTACTTTTCTAAATTTGTATTTTTTTTTTGGAGAGGTTTTTGTTTTAGGGTGCATGTACTCACCCAAAAGACAGAGAGACAGAGAGACAGAAAGCAAGAAATCACCCCCCATGGGGGATGGCCATGCCGCAATCCCTTTTCCTCCATTCTCCTCAGGATCTTGGGCACACATGCACGCACGCCCGGCGTGAGTTTAAAACACCTGGTCCGGGACACGAACTGTGGTCAACTACATGGGAATCCAGTGACCTAGCCATTAGGCCAACTGCTAATCCCTTAAATTAGTATGTTTTTTTAAAAACTGAAATCTAACATAGCATGAGCCCCAGATTCTGAGATTCAGGATGGTAGACCTGTACTTTGGACCATAAAATAGTGCTAAGGTCAGGGGAAGAGGCCAGGCATGCCCAGTTTAAAAAGTCCTATCTTGGGACCAGCAGATGGTATAATGGTTACATTGCTGGAATCCCACGTTGTCGACCATGGTCCAAGTCCTGGACCTGGTAGCTTGAAACTCAAGTTGGGTGCATGTGCATGTGTGCCCAAAATCCTAAGCAGAGAGTAGAAGAGAGGGGATTGTGGCATGGCCATCACCCCTGGGGGATGATTTCTTGCTTTCTATCTCTCTGTCTCTCTGGCAAGCGCACACACCCTTATAGAAAAAATCTCTCTCTCTAAAAAGAAAAAGTCGTATCTGATTCTTCTTCTTTTTATAAATGCATCAATTTTTAAAATTTATTTATTTTTAGTTTGCCGTAGGGTGTGTATACCCATCAGAGACAGAGAGAAAAACTGAGAAATCACCCCCAGAGGAGATGGATCTTGATGCAATCCCTTCTCCTCCATTCTCTGAGAATTTTAGGCATGCACACATACATGTCTGGTATGCTTTTAAAGCCTCTGGGTCCAAGACTTGAACTGCACAATTAGTCATGTGGGATTCAGTTGCCTTAACCACCACAACACTAGCTGGCCCTTTGATTCTTCTTTTTATTCTTTTAAGTTTGTTTATTTATGTCTCCCATGAGTGAGAGAAACAGAGAGGGTGAGACATCATCCAAAAGGGTCCTACTGCTGTGATCCATCCTTAGTCTGCAGTCAGTCCCAAGTCAGAGGCACATGCATTGTCGCATGTTCAGGAAGGTCTCTGGATGGAATCAGGGCCTTCCTATGTGGGACTGCCTCACAAAGGGTTGTACCACCATCTGGTCCCCCATCTGATTCTTTGTTAACTCTTCTGGAGTCCTGAATCCTCATTGTGAGATACTTGGATGAAAACCTATAGTTGGCACATACAAGAACTTCCCTGTGACTAGCTTTCTCTCTCTCTCTCTCTTTTGAAATTTTTGCTATAGGGTGTGTACGTGTGCCACAGAGACACAGAGAGACAGAAAGCGAGAACTCACCCACCAGAGGGAATGGCCATACCACAATCCCTTCTCCTCCATTCTCCTCTTGGGATTTTGGGCACGCGTGCACATGTGCCCAGCATGAGCTTTAAGCCATCAGGTCCCGGACTCAAACCGCAGTCAACTACATGGGAGTCCAGCGACTATAACTATTATACCATCTGCTGGTCCCCTGTGACCAGCTTTCTGATAAGACTTTACCCATAGCTTCTCCTTATGGGAGAGATTTTCCCCCTTATCTTCTGAAAGTAAAGCTTAGAAAGGTTACATGAGTAAGAGGTAGACCTGGGGTGAATTTGAGCCCGCTTCTGGCTGATTGCCACCATTGCCACATCTTTTGTCTTCTTCTGACATTGTGAATTTTTGTCAATGAAAGCCCATTGAGTAGCTTCTATATGTGATGGCACAAGATTTTAAAAAAACACACACACAAAAAGCTTGCAACAGAGCAAAGTCAGTCTCACCCTGCCTCAGCCCCAGCTCCCAGGTTTCTCCTGGCATCAGTTCACTGGGAGTGG